AGAACTCATGAATAATTTTGTCAACTAGAAAATACCTAATGCTGCGGCTATTAGGTATATAGACGGACTGTCCAATTTTATGTTGTTCCTTTTTGGAGTAAATTGATAATACACTTCCTGTGTGTTTTCCATTGATTAATAAAATATTTGATTACCTTTCAAAAACAAAAATAAATAAATAAAATATGGCGATTCCAACAAATCAATTGTCGTTCTAGCTTCCCTTATTGAATCCAAATCCTTCTAGTGTAGTCAATATGTTATCTCCAATATTGTTTGATAGATTTCTAAATGCATAGATATATTCCTGAAAACTGCTCTAAATCAATTTGGAACAACCTTATAGTTCTCAATTGTTGGTTAAACAAAGAGAAACTGTAAATTTAAATATCAATAATTTTTGGGATTACAGTAAAAACATAGAAGAAGAGGAGCCGAAGGGAGAGGGGAAGTAGAAGAGATCACTTTAGAATACATCCTTGTTTTCCTAGATTGACCATGATCAGAATTTGTTCAATCCATTACTGGGAACATGCTTAGTTCCTCTTTCATTTGCTTGAGTTTTACGAAAATGATTTCATTCAATATTTTAACTATGTTTGTATGGGATGGAATCATTCTGACACAAACTACTTCTAACTTTTTAATTTCTTTCATCAGAGGAAATTCCTGACAAGTGGACCGAGGCACCAGATATATATTCATTTCGCTCTTTGGACCGCAACTTTGTTTTTCCTGGTAACTGTTTTCTTTTCTTTTAATTTTTATTTCTTTAGAATATGACATACCATTTAATTCTCACATGTATTTTCTAATTTTGAATTTTGCTTTCTTATTTCCTTTCTTAGGCGAGCAAGTCCATATACTTGCATGTTTGTCTGCCTATAAGCAGGATACGGAAATTATTACACCATTTAAAGTTGCCGCAGTCATGAATAAAAATGTGATTGGACAGAGAAACAAAGAAAATGGCAATGTTGAACATGTAACAAATCCTGTTTCTCAAGGAATGAAAGCGGGTTCTGATGAGCAAGACAATCACAATGGTGAAAAGGTAATGAAAGAAAATTCACAAAACAGTGTTTTTGCAGGTGAATCTCTCCTCAGAATGATAGATCACAGAAGGCAGACTGAATCATTGTTGCGAAAATTTAGAAGTTCCCATTTTTTTGCTCGGATTGTGGAGTCAAATGAACCTCTTTGGTCGAAAAGAAGAGATTCAGAAGCCTCTCTCAGAACTTCTGAGATAGTTGAAGGAAAATTGACAGAAGATTCTTCAGAAACTCAGAAAATTGTGAAAAAGAATCCTATTAATGCTGCAATCGATAGAGGAAAATTTGATGCCTGTGCATCTGGTGGAGTGGCGAGAGATGCTGTCAAATGTTGTTCTCTTTCAAATGGAGACGTAGTGGTATGGTTAACAGAATTTCTATCTTTGTCTAGGTCATTATATTTTCTACTCAAAGATGCTGCTTACGAGAATAGAATTCTTTCTTTTTCTTGACATATTTTTCACTTGTTCATTCACTGATTTGGATAATTTGGTTTATGGTCTATTACTCTTAAGTTTGTTCACTTAGAATTTAAAATGTAGATAGATTTCTCTGCTTGGTGCTAAAATCTTCATTCTGGACGGACAATGTTTGATCAAGTATGAACTAAGAGATATTTGTTTAACGGCTGACACACTAGTTCTTTTTTCTTTTAACTTCTATTAAGAAGGGGTAATGCTGTGACAATAGTTATTTCAAATTATTCCAAATTGTAGCCCTGTGTACAATCCATACTATATCATGGTTGATGTAAAGATGTTTGTTGAATTTGAATTGTTCAATGTGGAACAACTCTAGAGTACATTGTAATTGTCAGTCATATACATGGCATGATTCGTATACATATGGCATGATTTGTAAATATGTCCGATTCTATGTATAAGCCCGTAATTAATTGCTTTCCTTAATTAGATATGTAAGCTGTATGTTGCTGATAAACTACTTTCCTTAGTTAGATATGTCAGCTGTAGTTGGCTGAAAATCAGCCACGGATTAGGCCCAATTTAGCTTGTAATCAGCATTGTATTGATGATTGATTCTCTATATAAATGAAGGAACTTTCTAAAGGAGAGGCATTCAGCACAAAGGACGTGGTATCAGAGCCAATTCCTTAGAATTTTTCTTGTTTTTATGGTTGGGTTTTCTCATGGTGGGAGGAGCAAAAGCTCTTCATGTCCAGTCTTCTTGGTATCCAGATAGTTTTCTTGGTTGGTTTTGGATTCTTAGTGGAAAATTATTTTTGAGTTTTTAGTGAAGGCTGCTCAGTGAGATTTCTTCCGACTACAGCATGTTGGTTAGTGATATATTGCTGGATTTTTGGCTAGAGCATTGGCTGTTAGAGCTTTTGTTGGAACATGGATTATATGTTAGACTAAGTCCTTTCGACAGATAGAGCTGATTGTTTGTGATCAGCACACTTTGAAAATTTCTTTTAAAAATTCTTCTTTGGGGTGTGAGCTTTATGCAGTGTTCTTGGAGTGATTTTGGAGTGGTTCTTTCTGTTTCCGTACTATTTGTTATTTTTGGGTCTCTCGTCGTCATTATTTTTCATAAATGACTACTGTGATTTGGGTCTTTTCTTCGTGGGCACGAGCATTGTCACAGCCGCTAGTTCATGATTCTAAATTGATGCTTTCACGAGTATCAATTTGAGGGGGGATATCAATCATATTCATGGCATGATTTGTATATATGTGGCATGATTTGTAAATATATCTGATTCTATATAGATGCCTGTGATCAACGGCTTTTCTTGGTTAGATATGTAAGTTGTAAATGGCTGGTTAGCTGTGTTTCTTAGATATATCAGCTGTAGATGGCTGAAAGTAGCCACAAATTAGGCCCAATTTGGCTTGTAATCAGCATTGTATTGAAGATTGATTCTCTATATAAATGAAGGAACTCTCTAAAGGAGAGGCATTCAGCACAAATGACAGTAATTTTGTCTGACATAAGCATAGTTGTGTCTGTGACATAATATATTTTCCTTTGCTCCATTCAACTCTACACCTACATGGCATGGTCAGGTTCTGTTTCAGCTACTCATAGTGACTGAAAAGCAGAATTAAAGTTTTAATTTTCCCAAATTAGGTGCAAATGGTGTATTTTCTATTCCAGCTCTTTATACAATGTATAAGAACTTTATTACTTGTAAGCTTGGGGCTTTCTACATGAACTCTTTTCTGCTGCTCGGTTCTATCCAGCAATGCATTTACTGAAATCAATTCTACTTTTTGCCACCACACCTTGGTATTATCTTATTTGCCATTCAAGTTTTTGTATAATGATTCAGTACTGTGCATCCTTTATCTTAAATGATAAATTTTGTTCCTTCCTGAGTTTTTCTCTTCCTGAAATATGACCCATAGTTGTATATATTACCTCTTATTTGAATTCAACCTTTTTGTTTGGAAGGATGCAGGTGCTTTTACAGGTTAATGTTGGTGCTGAGGTTTTGAGAGATCCCATCCTTGAAATTCTTCAATTTGAAAAGCATCAGGAAAGAAGTTTATCCTTTGAGAACCAGCAAAATCTCTCTTCTCTAAATCAGGATCCTTGTGGTGAATTGTTGAAATGGCTGCTTCCTTTGGATAATTCTATTCCTCCTCCCTCTCGTCCTTTATCTCCTCCTATATTGAGTTCCAGTTCAAATGTTCGAAGCTCACCCACAAAACCTAATTTATCTGGATCATCTGGCTCTCAGCTTTTCTCTTTTGGTAACTTTAGAAGTTATTCAATGTCCTCTCTTCCACCAAGCACAACACCGCCTCCAGCAAATATAACTCCCAGTGCTAAACCAAGCTTTGACTCGGAAGATTGGAATCAATTTTCATTTAGAAAGTTTATGAAAAGTGGAAAAAGTGGAAATGAAGGACTCTTATCTTTTCGAGGTGTGCCATTGGAACCAGAAAGATTTTCTGTTAGGTGTGGGTTGGAAGGAATTTTCACACCTGGAAGAAGGTGGAGGAGGAAAATCGAAATAATTCAACCTGTAGAAATTCATTCTTTTTCTGCTGATTGCAACACAGATGATCTTCTCTGTGTCCAGATAAAGGTGTGGTTTCGTTACTCTTTACCAAATTTAGCTATTTTGGTTGTTATTTAAAGTGGAATCTTAATAATAACAAACACATTAGGCTTGATCCACGAATTATGTGATTCTTTTGTTTGTGAATTGGAGAATAAATGTTACTGAACTTGTTTTTGCAGAATGTTTCCCCTGCACATGTACCAGATGTTGTGATATTTGTAGATGCAATAGCTGTAGTCTTTGAAGAGGCATCACAAGGTGGCCTACCATTGTCTTTACCAATTGCATGCATTGACGCTGGGAATGACCACTGTTTGCCAAATTTACCTCTCAGGTTTTTATCTCCTCAAAAAATCTCAAATTTTGGTCACTGCCTTCTGCCAATGTTATGGAACTTCCGTGATTGATATGGGAGTGACATGGTTATGCATGTAACTTTCTATGTGTGGCAATATATTGTTTTGAAGTAACTATGCTGGACCCTGATCAGATAATTTAAGATCATTGGGAATTGCTTATATTTTCGTGTCTTCTAAGCACTTCTTTATTAGAGATAATTTCCATCTTCTGTTAATGATAGTGGAATTTATATTAGTTCCCAGAGTACTATCTAGGGTTTGTTGTTCTTTCTTTCGTTTCCTCTTTTTGCAGGATAGTATTTCGTTTTTCCTTTGTGCTGAATCCATGGTTATCCTCTCTCTGGAGGTTGTGCATGGACAGTTTTAAAGAAATTTGTCTGTAAGAGTTCCCAATTTGTACATTTGGTATACCTCATCTTAGAGTTGAACTTCCTTAGATAAGAGAACCATGATAAAAGGGTCACATCTTAGTACTCCTGAAAAAACAAAAATTAGAGTAAATTTGGAGTTAGCTCTAGAAAAGAGAATTAATTTCTTGGATTGAAGTGTTAGCATAAGTTCTACTGGGAATAATATTGTTCATCCAAAAAGTAAGAAAATTTTGTGTAAGACAATGATAAGCCTATTCCATTTTTTCATATTCATAGGTAGTACCTTGTCTACACTCTCAAAGTTTTAAAGCTTGATATGTGGTGTCATTGGCAGGAGAGGTGAAGAACATTCTTTTATTCTCAAACTCGCAACTTCATCATGGAAGTTCCCCAAAGGTCACAGTAGTACAAATTCACAACCGTCAAGTTTGCTCTCTGGAAGTGCTACATCAAATTGGCCATATTTTTTCAATATTGAAAAGAAATATAGTGAATTGCCTGCCCATCATTACGCAATTCTTGTATCATGTCGATGCAATTATACTGGTATAAAGCCTTAGATTGGTTGTTATATTTGATAGCTTGGTGAATACTGAATTGAACTGTATTTTAGTGGTACTTAAATTCTGCCTCATATTTGTAGAATCAAACTTGTTTTTCAAGCAGCCAACAAACTGGCAACCTCGTATTTCAAGGGATCTTATGGTCTCTGTTGCTTCTGAAATGACTCGACAAACTGTTGGATCCAATGGAAATCCGCTTCCAGTTCAGGTTATATGTGAATCTGAGCAATCAGTTTTGTTCTATCTGAGGCTGCAAATATTCTTCTAAATTTCTTCAATTTTTTAGGTCTTGACTCTTCAGGCATCAAATATGACATCTGAAGATCTCACAATGACGGTTCTTGCTCCAGCATCATTTACTTCTCCTCCTTCGGTCTTGCCTTTAAATAATTCACCATCATCACCCTCGAGTCAATTTGTTGATTCTTTTGAGTTAGCTGAGAGAGAGAGAAGTGATAGGCAAGTGGCTGTCATGAATACGATAAACTCATCGCCACTGAATAAAGGAGAGAAAGTTAATGACAAATCTGTACCGATACGGGCCATACCTGATGTCCTTCCAAGTAGTGATCTGGGTTGTACACATTTGTGGTTGCAGAGTAGAGTTCCGCTGGGGTAATTCATCTCTCTTGTTTTCCTCCTTGCTTCAGTTCAAACTTAACCACTAAGGGTTTGACTGTCATTGCAACAGATGTGTCCCTGCTCAATCAATGGCAACCATCAAGCTCGAAGTACTCCCATTGACAGATGGCATAATTACTCTTGATTCTCTACAGATTGATGTTAAGGAGAAAGGTACTTTTGTGCTCTCTGTTTTTTGCTAACTTCTTGTATCCTGTTTATATGTTAGTAAGCATAAGGTGTCATAGAACTGATGGCTTAGGATGAGTCTGATCATGATTCCTATACAATATGCATCATTCAGCGGTTTCAGTTACGCGGTACTGTCTTAAAAATAAATTCCTCTAGATTTAAATACTGTTTAGTAATAATTAATGAGCAAGTATAATGCGATGTTGGTTTTATATTAGATGTGGTTTTCTTATCTAATGGTGTTTAAGAGTTAGGACAGAGCGGCTATTAATATCTTTCTATCTTGTTTACAAGATTAAAACTAGCAGTTAATGATTGGAAGTACTTTCGGATATGACAGGTCTTACTTATGTACCTGAGCATTCACTGAAGATAAATGCAACTTCGAGCATCACTACTGGTATAATTTGAGGCAGTTACTTCAGAAGCTTTGATTATTTGATGGTACCTGGGTTTTGGTGAGACGGTTCATTTACTGCATGACTCCACGCTGTTACCTTTATATTTAAGTGAACTATTGCTTACGGCTAGTTTGGGGCCGACTTCTATGCCATATTTGTACCTTGTTATAGATATAGTGTAAAGTAGACAAGATGGTGAAAACTTTTGTCTGGCAATATGAATGGCCAAGTTATGGAACATTACCGCAATATACTAGCTTTCTGGTTAACATTCATTTCAATGCTGTCATTTTGTTATAATTTTTTCCCCTTCGTGTTTGTATCTTCATGAACATTAAAGCTTCTCCACTGTCTGATGCTTTTGCTTTTTGCATTAATCACCTCTCTGCTTGTTTGATTATTCAAAAGAACGGCGTTTTATCATACGTCTCAACTCAACTGATAATGTTGGTGGCACTGTTAGTTTTGCTTGAATGCCTTTCATGGAAGTTAATTGGTTTGGAAATCATGAAAACGAAGCCAATAGGCTATATAAACAAATTTAATATGAAAATTCCGGGCAAATATTGCATGAGAATCAAAATCATACCCTTAGATTTTGATATGAATGGCCAAGAAAGAGGAATATGACAGTGATTTAAACGTAGATGGAGAATGGTTTATTCTTGTAGAGTACCAGCAAACTTGGGACAAAAGAGTAAATAATTTTATTAATTAGGGTTAAGATTGGTAATTTGATGATGAGTAATTGGAGAAGCTAACAGTGGTATGTGATAGGATACCTTTTGATCAACAGTGCAAACTTAAAATTGTTGGATTCTGTTAATGGGAGAATTGATCGAGTGAGTTTTGGATGCCAATTGGTAAGGGAAGGGCTCTATAGATCTTATAGACTAACTTTTCTTCATTCAGAGTTAATTGAATTGAATCAATAAGTCGAGGATTCACTGGTCAATGTCAATTTAAATTCTCAACAAAATCTACAAAGTCTACAATCAGATAAGATTTCAATTTAAATTCTCAGCAAAATCTACGAAGTCATCATAATTATCAAGTTTTATGTCAACTCTCTCTCTCTCTCTCTCTCTCTTGTTATTTTTATTTTTTATTTTTATTTTTATTTTTATTGGTAAAGGTAAAATTCTATTGATTAAAACTCTGGACATGTTCGAGCAAACAATGTTGAAGTGACGATTACAAGTATTTCAAGCATACCCGAACAAATAAAATAAAAGATGTACAAACGATAAAAGCTAATGATCCAATACTAAGGACTCAGAATGAATTAAAATATGGGGATACCAAGAAAACATAACTTTATATACGTATGTTTTAATCCGTCTTACAATGCAATCAACTTGTGGTTTTATATTCTCAAAAATCCTCTTGAGTCAGATGCCCTGTCACGAAATTTTTCTTAAAATATTTAATATAAAAGTTTAATTTTCCCTTTTTCCATTAGAAAAATTGAACAATTAATCCTCAACTTTTAACACCGATAGCAAATACATCCTTAACATTTATAATCATACTTTTCAATCTCCAAAAATTTGTTCCATTTTGCATAATTTGTCATTTAAATTTTTTTAGTTTAATTTTTTATTTTATTTTATTTTATTTTTTTGCCTGTAAAGAAAACTTTTATAGTTAACCAGTTATTAAATTTATGGATCATCAAATTACTCGTCTTCAATTGTATAAATCTATCATTCCCCTTATTTAAGTTAAACCACAATTTTTATAATTAAAATGACTAAACAAATTATATTAACACAATTTTAGATGTATATAATTATTTAAAAATATTGGGGGACATATTTCCTAAAGAAGAGGAGAGTGATTTTCTTTAAAGAGTCAAACCATGTTATTTAGATATAAATCTTGTAAGAAAATAAAAGGGAAATACACTGATAAAGTTGCCATAAAAAATTATTCGATGGCTCTCCTTTGCTTCTATAATAAAAATGACTAAGCAAATATGAACACGATCAACCAGCTTCTTCTCCAAGATCCCAATACAATTTGGTTAGGAAAAGGTACATGCAAATATGCAATGGAATGGAATACACAGTTAATCATTGGGAAATAATCTTGAATTTGCATATGATTAGGTTTTAAAAGATATGCATATTAATTATTTCCATGTGATAGAATATAACCATCACAGCTTTATTTAGAATAAAGTAAACTGCCTTTGTCATTTTAGTGAACGTCTCCCACTTCTACTCGAGAAGCACATTGAACCCACGAATAAACAAATTATGAGTTGGACGCTTTAATCATCCAAGCACGAAACATATACAAATATTAGTTGGGTATCCCTCATCTTAGATCTGTAAATAAGAGAATAAAGTCGACCCTTACGAATAGTTCGATATAGAGTTAAATGTTTCATTGGCCACCGAACTTTAACTCATGTAACGGCTTACTCACCAAACTTCATCAAACGTCCCATTAGCCATTGAACTTTTCTCCGTCTCACTCCATTAGCCACTAGATGAAATCCGTTAATAAATATGCTTACATGGCTAACGGTAAAACGACTTGTCCAGTTAAATTGCTTCAGATGACAAGTGCCAATCACCACTTTGTCATCAACTCATTTGCCAAATAAGCCTCCCCCTCCCCAACAAGACTCTTTCAAAGCCTGAAATCAATTTCTTTCCAAATCGAATCCTCTATTAGGTGAAGTCTGAAGCCCCTGAACCCTATTCCACAAATCAAGATCATCCTTAAACCAAACGGCCCATCCGTTAAAGATTGATCATTCTTGATTCAGTTGATTGTGTGCACATGGATGGACTAGCAAAAGGTAATTTTGAAACAAGCTGACTTCATTTTTGTCTTTTCCGTTGATTGATGCATTTGGATGTATGTAAATGCTCAGAAATTATGCAAATTTGATAATTTCACGTTCCTATGTGTTCTAAATTACTAATGAATATAAGTTTAGCAGAATTGTTTCTCTCTTTAGTAAACTGAGATACTCCTTCAGATTAGCGAGAGTAGGATGAAATCATGCTTTTATTTCATCTATGATGAGAGTGGATTCCGAAACGAATTTACTATCTTCTAACATACATTATTCATTTTATGGTTTGATGTTTAAAATGCCGCTGTATACTCCAATGAAATATTTAGTACACAATGAGCTATATCACTCGAAGTCAGAGGCACTTGTTGATGTGAGTATATGCTTGCTTCTTTTCACTTCTTACTTTTATTACAATATTCTAATTACGGTTTATTCCCAATAGGACTAGTTTGAAGAAGACTTAGAACATGTTGGCACAAATTGCAACAGAGCGTTTGCCAAAAGTGTGAGTACAATTTAATTTCATTACTTATACTTGACTATGTTGGTTCTTCATTTTGACTAATGATTCTATATGGCATACACAAAAGGGTAAAATGATTGTAGGAGGAAAGGGAGCGTCGTCAAACTGAAACGATGAGGAAGAACAATCTTTCCAAATCATGCCAACCCCTATGGTTGTACTTGTGACTGAAAGGCGATTGGGTGGCATTCAAACAACTACTATGCACTCATAGTCGGCTGCATTTCATGTGTCAACCAATGAAGTGAACTTCGACGAATTGAATGACATAGTTGATGCGGAATCTACCACATTGCGAGCGGTAAGGACAAGAATGCAATGACGTGTAAAGCTGTATTACGATTATAGAAGGTTCCCGAAGATCCTCCCCTCATGATCCTGGACAATCTTTTAAATATAGGAAATAGATTGTAATTTATATGCTACCTTGTATGCAAATATTCTTGCCATATTCATTGCTGTACAGATTCTATATAATGATACTCACACCATGAATAAACTCACGGTGGTTCATAAAACCTTTTCATGGTATCAGAGCCTCTATAGGATTTGCATCCATTGACCCAAATGGCCTCCGTCAACCCATCTCTTTCTCTGTCTTTCAACACTATGGTACATCTCCTAACCGTCAAGCTGTCCTCCTCGAACTACCTTCTCTGGCACAATCAAGCGCTGCCATTGTTGCAGTGCCAAAACCTTCTTGGCTATGTTGATGACTCTCTCAAATCTCCTCCCGCCACTATCAGTTCCGGTGAAATTGCCACAATAAATCCGAAATTTGTTGAATGGCAGCAAACCAATCAGCTTGTTCTCAACCTTCTCCTTGCTTCGTTAACTGAAGAAGCTCTATCTACTGTTGTTGGATTAAGCACCTCACATGAAGTATGGTCCACTTTGGAGACCACCTTCAACCACTGTTCCAAATCCCAGGAGCTGCGTATGAAGGATGAATTGCAGCACATGAAGAAAGATACTCAGACTGTGGTTGAATATTCTCGTGAGTTCAAATCTGTTTGTGACCAACTCGCTGCCATGGGTTGGCTAATGGATGATTTAGACAAAATACACTGGTTTTTGCAAGGACTTGGCTCTGCTTTCTCCACTTTTTCTACCACACAATTATCAATCTCACCTCTCCCATCTTTTACTAATATTGTTCCCATGGTGAAGAGTTATGAAAATTTTGTCAAATCTTTAGAGATATCCTCCACAGGTCATACTTCAGCCGCCTTCACTGCCTCTCATGGAAATCGTTCTGGTCGTGGAGGTGGTCGTTCTCTTCACAGAGGTCGTGGCAATGGTAGCGGTTGTTATCAACGTAGCCACCCTATTCGTTGTCAAATCTATCGTAAGGAAGGACATTAAACCACATTTTGTCGTGACCGCTACCCTCAGTCTTCCAATACTGCTAATCTTGTGGAGGCTTTTACCTCATGCTCTCTCAACGAGAATCTGGAGTCCGATTGGTAGACAGACACTGGAGCTACGGCATACATGACTAATGATGTTTCTCAGCTGCATAAGTCTGACAAGTACACTAGTAAGGATCGTGTTATTGTTGGTAATGGCGTCTCTCTCCCCATTTCTCACATTGGTACCGCCTCCCCTATCTCTTCTCTTAATTTACAAGATGTTCTAGTTGTGCCCGGCTTAACCAAAAATCTGATTTCCATTAGTAAACTTACTGTTGATTTTCCTTTCTCTATCACATTCACTAATGATCAATTTGTTATACAGAACCAAGTCACAAGAAAGGTAGTGGCAACCGGGCGACGTGAGAACGGCCTCTATGTGCTCAAGCGTGGACATCACTCTTTGATCGGACAACAATCTTTAATATTTGTACTCTCACATAATTGTCCTTGAGCTTCATTTGATGTTTGGCATGCTCGATTAGGCCATGTATCTCACTCTATTATTTCTCTATTGAATAAAAATTGTCAATTATGTGTGACTTCTTTGCTTTCTACTCCCACTATCTGCTCTAGCTGCCAACTTGCAAAAAGTCATAGATTTCCATTCCAACAAAATGAAAAACTGGCTCCTAATATTTTGAATCTTATTCATTGTGATTTATGGGGTCCATCCCCTGTTTTCTCCAATATGGGTTACAAATATTATGTCATTTTTATTGATGATTATTCACGATTCACGTGATTTTATCCTTTGAAGTTAAAATCCGACTTTTATCGCACTTTTCTTCAATTTCAAAAATTTGCGAAAAATCAATTTTCCGTTAAAATCAAAGCATTCTGAAGTGATGGAGGCACAAAATTTACAAATCATCTTTTTTGGGGTCACCTTTCCAACTGTGGCATCCATCATCAAATGTCTTGCCCTTATACACCAGCCCAAAATGGTCGAGCCGAGTGCAAACATCGTCATCTAACAGAAACTGGTCTAGCAATGCTCTTTCACGCACATGTCCCTCATAAATTTTGGGTTGATGCCTTTAGCATCGCCACTTTCATTATCAATCGGTTGCCAACGCCCACTCTTGCTGGCTTGTCTCCTTTTGAGTTGTTGTTTGGTAAGCCTCCCGTTTACTCTAATTTTCATTCTTTTGGTTGCCTTGTATTTTCATATTTACGCGATTATGCCTCTCACAAGTTAGTACCTCGAAGTTGTCCTTGTGTTTTTCTTGGCTATAATATGTCTCACAATGGTTATCGCTATCTTGATCATTCCACTAATCGCGTTTTTATCTCCAGGCATGCAATTTTTAATGAACTTATTTACCCTTTTAAGGGGGCTCCCTGCCTTTCGCCCATGCCTCACTCTCCCGTTAGTGCATTTCTTGAGCCCGCTACTGTCCCAGAGGCCTCATCATCGACTCAACCCGATCCCCTACCACCTCCTTGTAATTCTTGTTTAACTGATGCATCTACTAGTCTTGTGCCTATGTCTATTTTGCAAGCTGCAGATGACGTGCCTATTGTTCACACAGTGTCGGGTCTCTCTCATGACTTCGACATGTCGTCCGATAGTCTAGCACCCATTACTGAAGTATTCTCAAGCCAGCCTCCTCCACTTGGCACCCATCCAATGCAAACTTGTGCAAAATCTGGCATTTTCAAGCCTATCCACCGGTCTCATGTGTGCATAGTTCCTCGCTTTGGCCTCCTTGAATCTCTTCTCACCATGCGCGAACCTAAAGGCTTCAAATTCGCTGCCAAACATTCTAGATGGATTGCAGCCATGGATGAAGAAATTCAGGCCCTTCACAAAAATCATACATGGGATTTGGTACCTAAATAGCCCAATGCAAATGTTGTGGGCTCTAAATGGGTTTTCCGTGTTAAATATCTATCGGATGGCAATGTCAACCGCCTTAAAGCCTGCTAGGTTGCAAAGGGCTATACACAACAACCGGGTCTTGACTTCACCGATACCTTTAGTCCTGTTGTCAAAGCTTCCATTGTCCGGGTTGTTTTATCTTTAGCCGTCTCTCATAATTGGCCTCTTCGACAACTTGATGTTAAGAATGCGTTTCTTAATGGTTTCTTGCAGGAAGAAGTTTATATGGATCAGTCGCCTGGTTATGTTGATTCTAAACATCCTTCATATGTTTGCTGCCTTTGTCGGGCTCTCTATGGTCTCAAACAAGCTCCACGAGCTTGGTTTCATCGCTTCAGCACCTTTCTCTTGGCCATTGGTTGTTTGCAGTCAAGCTGACTCATCCTTATTTGTTCTCTCCAAGGGTGCTGACTTAATTTATCTATTACTCTATGTTGATGACATTGTGGTAACTGACAACAACACGACAATCCTTGATGACTACTAGCGAATTTTCCACTAAAGACCTTGGATCTCTGAATTATTTCTTGGGCTTGGAAGCCCATCGCACTTCTTCTGGTCTTTTTCTTAGCCAGACCAAGTATGCTCTTGAAATCCTACAACGTGCCCATTTAGTTGACTCCAAACCGGTCTGCACTCCCATGGTAGTCGCTCAACATCTTTCCACCACAGGTCCCGATTTTGATGACCTACATCTCTTTCGGTCACTTGTGGGAGCTCTCCAATATCTTACCATCACTCGACCGGATATCACTCATGCCGTAAGTGTCGTAAGCCAGTTCATGCACAAGCTTTCTATCTCTCATTTTCTGGCAGTAAAAAGGATACTACGATATATCAAGGGAACTCTTCGATTTGGCTTATCCTTCACTCCATCTTCTTCTCAGGAACTCCTTGCTTATTCAGATGCCGATTGGGCTGGCTGCCCTGATACACGTCGCTCAATTTCTGGTTATGCAATCTATTTCGGTGACACTTTAGTGTCTTGGAGCTCCAAGAAGCAGCCGATAGTTTCACGCTCTAGCTGTGAATCTGAATATAGGGCTTTAGCAATCACAGCCTTCGAGGTTAAATGGCTACAACATCTCCTTCAAGATCTTCGTGTATCTACTTTGTCTCCTTCGATCATACTTTGTGATAATCAAAGTTCAATTTTTCTCCCTGTTAATCCAGTCTCTCATAGACGCTCCAAGCACATTGATTTAGACTATCATTTTGTGAGGGAAATGGTGGCCTAGGGAGAACTCAAGATCCAATATGTCCCCACTCACCTACACCTTGCAGACATATTCACCAAGAGTCTTGGTCGACCTACCTTCATCTTCCTACGTCCTGAGCTACGCGTCCATGATTTTGATACGCTAGGCTTGCCGGGGGGGAGGGGGGTATTACGATTATGGAAGGATCCCGAAGATCCTCCCCTCATGATCCTGGACAATCTTTTAAATATAGGAAATAGATTTTAATTTATATGCTACCTTGTATGCAAATATTCTTGCCATATTCATTGTTGTACAGATTCTATATAATGATACTCACACCTTGAATAAACTCACGGTGGTTCATAAAACATTTTCAAGCTGTCAAACTGAACAACATATCGGCATGCAAGGATGAATAGACACCCTCATTAAATGATGTTGATATTAGTTTTTTTTTCTTTTGCTACTGGAAATGAAGTTTTGACCAGTTACCGTCCATTTTTTTATGCTGAAACTTATTATGTTCTAAATATGTATAGATGGTTTGTATAATTTTGGTTTTTGATGTTCTAAATATCTATGGATGGTTTTTAATGTTTTGTTGTATGTGTATGTATCATTTTGGTTGCTTATGTTACTCTTGTAAATATTATTATTAAGTTCATGCCAGTTCAAAGGGATTAAAGTGCAGAAAAACAAAATTAAGCAACGTGAATACATTCATTCTCTTTTGAAGATTAATTTCTAAACTTTGTTCAGCCCAACATCGAGAAGCTGATCAATCACAGAGTTCCAAAAGCAATCAACAGGATCAAGATCATCATTTATGAATGGCCAAAAATCATAGTCAAACTTATTCTCATCAGTAAAATTTTGATCGTACAAATTCTACAAACAAAATTGTTCAAAATTTGGTGTTTAAATGGTGGAGAATCCATCAAAATATGAACAAGAAAAAAGATGCCTTGAGCAATTGCTTTCTCTAAAAGTGTGTGGAGCCATCCATTTCTCCACTTGAGCTGCAAACATCAAGCATGCACTAATTATTACAGACAAACAAATTCACACTCTCTTAAACAAATGGAACCATCCATCTCTCTTAAACGTCAAGCATACACCATGTTCTTCAATAAATCTGTTAGACTAATTCAATGCTCCATTAAGCTCTCTTTTCATGACACTCGTTCTCAATGGTTCACATTAAGTGCAGCAAGATGAAAATCGAAAGGTGTCACGTTCCAAGATTTTAGGCTTCACGCGATAGAGGATGAGCAGGTTGGTTCAATTATGATCTCGATTTGGGGATTAGGGTTCGAGAACTTCGGACTTCTCTATCGATTCAATATGGAAGAAATTGATTTCAAGCTTTGGGTTTTCAATTGGGTTAATGTTGTGTTTCATATGAGTGGGAAAGGCATATTTGGCCAATGAATCGATGACGTGTCAATGACTTGGCACTTAACTTGCCATTTGGAGCGATTTAACTGGACATGTCATTTTATTGTTAGCCACGTAAGCAGATCTATTAACAGATTTCATCCAGTGGCTAATGGAGTGAAATGGAACGAAGTTTAGTGACTAACGGGACACTTGATGAAGTTTGATGAGTAAATAGTGACGGCCAATAAAACATTTAACTCGTTCGTGTACTATTTCTCTTCAATCAACCACTCTCTATTGGTCAAATATAAATAACTCATCATTAATACAAGATTCAGCCTTTGTTTGAGTCCCATTCTTTTGAAAAAATTCATTTTTAATAGTATTTTGACATCATTTTAACCACACATTTCTCATCAATATATTATTCAAAAATTCATTCTTCTCCAAAAAAATGGAGCTTAAACAAGGGCTCAGTATTTCATTGTAGCACTATCTAATATTTTACTACAAATAATGCATATTACCTATTCAAAGAGAATAAAAGAAAAGTACTGCTACATCACTTCATGCTGACGCGCGTAGCTGCAATCGCAAGCCAGAAACATTGACATGTCACCATTTAGGTGGGTCCCTTCCTCGTTATCCCTCGTGCCCTAACTGCCCGCTTTTTCTACTTTCCACACTCGAAAATTGATCCATCACCCTCAAATTTTCATATTACCAATTTTGGCCCTCGCCTTTTCAGTCTTTTTCACTCAATGCCAAGGGTGGGTTCAAAATTCAAATTCAACGCAAAAAGTTAAACATGAAAATAAGTAAAAAGGAATTGATTTCTCCTAAGAAAAATTCATAAGAGTAGAAGAATACTACCATATTTTTTTCATCCAACTTTAACTATTTAGAAGGGATTTTTTTTTGGGTCTTAATAAAAATATTCTACGAAGTCAAGATAATAAACGGGTGTTTAGCACCAATTTTAGTGTTCTTAATTTTCTCATTATACTTTGGTCTGTGGACAATTATTTTGTTTGGAAACATCAAAAAAATACCAAGCTGCAACATGCTTCAAGGTACTTTTAGGGCCTGTTTGAGAGCGATTTTTTCTCTTAAAAAATTAATTTTTTGACCATTGTTTTATTACTTCAGTCGTTATATTTGACTTTTTCTCTCACAAATGAACCCTACTTTTTTTCTAACGATCAAAAAATCAATTCTTAAAATCACTTCACACCAAGCTACCAGCATTTGAACTTTAGTCCTGCCCAAGCTCCCTCCGACCAGTATGGCATTTATTTTTTAGTTTTTAATGCTATTGAAAAGTCATATAATGACCAAAACTAATAAAATATAAGAGTGTGTTTGATTACATTTATTTTTTATGAAAAATATCAGTTTTTCACCCAAATTTTTATTTGGAGTGTTTGATTGCTATTTTTTTTCATGAAAAATATTTTTCAACTTTTAAAAATATGTCTAATTTTCCTTGTTTTTAAGGAAAATATTTTCCTTGGATAGATGTGATTTTTATTTTCCACAAAAGATGGAAAATATTTTCTTTTTTAGGTGATATTTTTCATGTCAATTAAACAATATTGTTGATGATTCAACATTGAACTGGTCAAGAATAGTTGAGATTTCGATATCAGGCATTTCTGGGGGCGGTGGCGTGAATATGGTGATGCTTTTTGAAACTGAGATTATTATCTGATTCGTCAATCTCGTCCTTATCTTATCAACTGGATCTGAGCTGTTTCTTCAAACATTATTTCTGTGTTTTTTGGGAAATAGAGGTTTCTTGGAGTGGGAAGAAATCTTTGTAATTTTCTAACGAATTTGGGTCCTCTTGAAAGTGGATAAAGGGGGGATTCTTGCTGGTATTTTGAACTGGGTCTGATCTGTTTTTCACAATTTGTGGATTTTTGACTAAAAAAATTGTTTTGAAGGAGAGGAGTATTAGGTTTTCATTAGGCTTTCGGGAGTGTCTTAAAATTGGGTGAAGGTGTTCGTTTTGTTACCATCGACTAATTTCCTGAAATGAATTTGAGGTGTTCTAGGTGATTCTGTTTACACAGAAGGATGCGATAGTTGGTATTTTTTTGGTAACTTTTTTCTTATTTAGTTTATGGGATTTGACGATATTTGATTTTGTTTAAGATGGGATTAAGCGGTGATAGCTTGGAGGTGGGGTCTTGGGAGGTGGGGAAATCAAAGGGGAGGAAGAAGAAGAATGGTGATGCTGAGGAGGAGACTGGCTGTTGGATTAAGTTGAGATATATTGGTAGCTGTATTTCTTCAAGATCAAAAGTTGATAGCTCACTTAGTGGCATCAGCACTCATGGTAATCCTTCAATTAATTTTAAGTATGTCTTATACCGAGTTAAATTATATTGTATTTTTAAAAAAAATATGTTCTTTGTTGTCAGTTTAATCTGATTTGACCTCTGCAATTTTGATCTCTGTTGTTGGAATAGTATGTGATTTCCATATCTTTATGTTGTATTGTTATAATCTTGAATGTGATTTGCTGAACATGACTTATGGCCAACAGAACTATTACCAGATATTCAAGATTCTTAAACGAAAAGCTGAACATTTGTTTCTGTTAATTTTGTTTTGACGATGGGAGCCTTTTTGTGATTATTTCCTTCTTTGAGTACATTACTTATATGATTAGAATAATAGAATTAGTTCTATTCCCCGTTTTAAGAAGGGGATAAAATCAGTTTGTATAAAATTTACGGCCCTTGGATTTTCTTATTCGGCTTAGATTTCGTTTTTGATGTTACTGAATGTTGGTACTTAATTTTGCGTGTTCAAATTCATATGCCTAAGTTCGTTATGCCTGTGAATAGAAAGTAAATCTACAGACGATACTAGCAGAGGTGAACCAGTTGTCCCTGTAATTTCTTTCACCACCACGAGCAATGCTGAAAGCCATGCTTCTAGCTCCAAACTTGAAGAGGAACTTAAAGTTTTTTCTCAGCTACGAAAATTCACATTCAATGATCTCAAGGTAGCCACAAGAAATTTTAGGCCGGAATCTCTTCTTGGTGAAGGGGGATTTGGTTGTGTATTTAAAGGATGGATTGAAGAAAATGGAACAGCACCAGTGAAACCCGGGACGGGACTTACCGTTGCTGTGAAAACCCTAAATCATAATGGGCTTCAGGGTCACAAAGAATGGCTGGTTCGATGATTTCTCAGTTTACGTTTCTTGAAGTGGCTTTCCTGCATGTTAATTTGGCTTATTCTTTTTTGAATTGTTCTCGTTGCAATTCTGTTTGGCAGGCTGAAATAACTTATCTGGGTAACCTCCTTCATCCTAATCTGGTTAAATTAATTGGTTACTGTATTGAGGACGATCAAAGACTGCTAGTTTATGAGTTCATGCCTAGAGGAAGCTTGGAGAACCATTTATTTAGAAGTATGCATCTAATTTCCTTTGATATATAGTAGTTTTAACTTTTATCTTTTAGACAGCGCTGAGAGAATTACATTCTATTTCATTTTATGTCATTTTACATGTAATCCCTTCGGTGTGGAACTGAGAAACCAGGAGCATTTTTCAAGTGTCAATATGGTTGTGCTTATGAGAGTGAGTGTGTGGGTGTGGGGTTTCATTTCTCTTGTACTTATTTGACCGTATAGGTTTGAACAATACACCTATATTTTTAAGTTGGTAATCAAAATCCTGCAAGCACAAAGGGAATGTTTCACTAGGCAAATCTGGATCCTACAATAAAAAAAAAAAATTTTTTTTTTAACTTCTTTTTCTTTTTTAATAATGTCTAGTACACCTTACAAACATCTAAAAATGTTTTGTTTCCATCAATAGTCTGCATTCTGTAGTATCAAATCTGATTTTCACAAGAAAATGTGGTTCGTATTTAACCATCCTCAACTTATTTTCTTTCATCATGTTCTGTCATTCTAATAAATTGCAATACTCACCTGTTGTTATTGTAGGGTCTCTGCCTCTTCCATGGTCTGTCAGGATGAAAATTGCTTTGGGTGCTGCCAAGGGTCTTACTTTTCTTCATGAGGAAGCGGAAAGGCCAATTATATGTCGTGATTTTAAGACCTCTAACATCCTATTAGATGCAGTAAGTTCCAAGGCCTTGTAGATCATAATCTTGTAAAATCTATGTTGCTCGAACTCGGGTACGGGTACGTATCTAAGTGTCGGACATCTTATTTTTTAAAATGTAGGATATGTGGACATGGCTTAAAAGAGTCCAAATTTCGGGTACGTGGGTACGTCTTTGAAATTTCAAAATTTTCCCCAAAAAAATCACATGTAAAAAGTTAAACAATAATTAGTTGCAAATTGTTAAAAGATAAACATGCCAACTATTATTTGATTACTTCTATTTATTCATGTTTTGAAAAAATATTTATTAATTTCAGAAAATGCTATTAAATTGTTCAAAAACATTTATTTATGTTGATTTTATAATTATTTGTCAATCATTTTGGCCAAAGAAAAATCACATTTTTAATTTTTTCAAAAATTTTGTAACAGCCATTATATATATATATATATATTAAAATGATCTTATCTAGATCAAAAAGAAAAAAAAAACATATTTAAGAAATAATAAACCTAAAATTTGAAGAAAGACATAAATAAACCCAATTAATAAAAGTGTAAGGTTGTAAATATATTTCAACCACAAATTCACAACGAGGGGGCCAAAAAAACAAAAAAAGGTCCAAAAATTAAAAAAAGAAACAGGCCCAACTACAATTTCCCATGGAAAACAAAAAAATAAAAAATAAAAAATAAAAAAATAAAAATAAAGAGGCCCAAAAGACCTAGGAATTAAAACAAAAAAAGGCTCAAGTTCAACTGCCCCTCCTTCTTCCCTAAAGCCGGCAACGCGTCTGCAACTTGAAGGCGGAAGTTCAGCAATTTCGATCTCTTGCCGTGTCCGGTTTAAATCTGCCTTGTCCGCCCCGTATTTCATACCCGTACCCGTGTCATGTCGTGTCGACATGGGTACGCCGGCCGAAATGAAGGGTCCGAGCATCACACTGTAAAATATTAAATTCATTTATATATGTGCATAATCTCTCAACTTTTATCCTTCCAGGAGTATAATGCCAAACTTTCTGATTTCGGACTTGCTAAAGATGCTCCGGATGAAGGGAAAACTCACGTTTCCACACGTGTGATGGGAACATACGGTTATGCAGCTCCGGAATATGTCATGACCGGTAAACAATATATGTCTTTATCTTGCTCGTGTCCTTTTCTTCTTCTATAATAACTTTGAAATTAAGATCCGAGAACAGGAACCCGAAATGAATTTAAGATGTGTGTTTGCTCGTGCCAGTTGCCCATAATATCTCATTTTGTTACCATGGGGGTTTCATTACATAATTTACATTCCATGACACAAGTATTACTGGTAATTTCTATAAGATTTACATGATATCCCTCTTTTATTCTGATTGAAATCCTTATTTATTGCAGGGCATCTTTCATCAAAGAGTGATGTCTATAGCTTTGGTGTTGTTCTTCTTGAAATGCTTACGGGTAGAAGATCAATGGACAAAAACCGGCCTAATGGAGAGCACAACCTCGTGGCATGGGCCAGGCCTTATCTGACTGACAGGAGACGATTTTATCATGTGATAGATCCTCGACTTGAAGGTCATTTTTCCATAAAAGGTTCTCAAAAAGCTGCAGAATTGGCAGCACGTTGCCTTAGCCGGGATCCCAAAGCCAGGCCTCAGGTGAGTGAGGTCGTCAATGCCTTGAAGCCTTTGCTGAACCTCAAGGACATGGCCAGCTCATCGTACTCCTTTAAGACAATGCAAGCCGAACGTGTTAGACCCAGCCAAAATGCTAACAATGGGCTTTGGACTCGAGGATCGTTCATGAAAAACGATCAACAACATCCACGAAGCCTCTCAATACCGAATGGTTCGCATGTTTCTCGACACCAGCAGTCCGCTAATAATTCACCAAAGCCAGATGGTAAACCGTAGAACTGGATTGGAACATGTGTTCCTTCTCCAAGTTTTTGACCATTCTTTTTTCGTATAGCGTGTTGAAGAACAAGTATTGTGCAATTCTCAACCACTTGTAGGAGGAGATAATGGAGATCGTGTTGCATTTGTTCGCTAATCTGTTATTTAAATTCAAATTCAAATATCATGATGTGTAGATTAGAGTTATCATGGTATCCTTTGTTACAATATAAATACACATGCACATAGTTCAGTTTGAATGACAAAAAATATATGCAGACTTCTATTTCATTCCATCCTTTAAATTTTATATGGTATCAGAGAGCTCCACTCTGACTGACGGCCCTGACCATGGCTTCTCCATCATCAACTCTTTGGAATACTTCTTCCCTGACAAATCCCCTGCTCATTACTCCACCTGTTATCCATGTCACCAAATTGACTGGAGATAATTATCACGTCTGGAAGGCACAGACGGTTCCTTTCTTTCGTGTCTAATCCTTCGGAGATGTGGTAGACTTAGTTACATTGCAAAGAAGTGCTATCATCGATTTGATATTAACTATTTAGCCTCGGCTTCTCCTTCTCGCCTTCCACAGACGATGATAGCCTCTAATAATTCCTTGGGGGATACAGAATGGCATCCAGACACAAGGGCTACTCATCATCTCACCAAGGAGGTGAACAACCTCAATTTGCAAAGAGAGGACTATGATGATGTCGATCAAATTTAGGTCGGCAACAGGTTTGCAAATATCAATAATTGGTTCCACTCCTCTCAAATCCCTCTCATTTCTTTATTTTAAGTCAAGTTTTACTTGTTTCAAAAAATGGTGCTGCTGGCTTTAGTCTGTGAGTTGTATCAGGTGGGTGACTCTGGGTGATGTGCAGTGGTAGGCGGTAGCTTTTGGATTAAGGATATAATGGTTTGTTTGGTGGTGCGATTGATGATGTGAAGGAAGCTGTTTGTTGCTTGTAGTTGCAATCATGGTGGGAAGGCTTCGAGCTTCATGGAGGTGTGAGTTGGATGGATAAACTTGGAAGAACACGGTTTGAGGGGTGAGTGGTGACTGTTTTGTGGCTTTTATTGGATCAACGGTGGATTTGACTATAGCTTTGTTGGATTTGGTGGTGGCGATAGTTTTTTTTTTGGATCTGGTGGTGGCAGTGGTGATTTGTAGTTGTAAACGGTGGTTTGTTGGTTGGTTGTGGTGGTGACCTAAAAATGTATTAATTTGTAATTAATAAATAATGTGTGACCTAAAAATAATTTGATAATTTAAGTTGTGATCAATAATTTAATAATTTGTAATCTAAACGTAATTTGTATCTAATTAATTTGA